TAATCATCTCATATCCAACAAGCGTGAGTGGAATAATTGTTTTATTAAAAACGCCCCCAAAATTATAGAGAACTAGACTGAAATAAAAACGCCCCAGAGATTCACGCGTACGCTTACCATATTTGTAGAGCATGGTATAATTAAACAATTATTCACCGAAGTGGAGGTAAATATCCATCACTTTCACCGACATTGAGGTAAATAGTTGTTTTAGTATATAACACACAAGCTGAATAATTAGCGGACCAAAACTGACGTTATTTTATGTGTGGCAAGCGGTCGCAAATTTTAAAATCTCTCGCGCCGGCTGCTTGGAGGTGAATAGCACTTGCTAATCACCTCGAAGTTAACCAGAGCGCGCGAAAAGCACTATTCACTTGTGTGGTATATACTAATTGCTCATAACCCATGATGGCTAAGCCAAAGAAAACTCTCGAATTGCATTATCCAATGATCCAGTTTTTAATAAACACATTTATACCGACGGAAAAAGGGAAGGTCAACCTCAATACCCAGCTACCTCGGCGAGGGAATTTGAAATAATCGTACATAAATAACAGCGAACTGTCTTTCTAAGAAATGACAAAGTTGGCTCGGGGCTGAGGAAGGTAGGCAGACACTGGGTCCGAGCTGACTTTCTTAAACTTTCGATAGTTGACTCACCTACCATATCATGCGCATTCTTCAAAAGATGGCACGTGAGAGGGCAACCTCCGAACACGGACAACTTTTATCCATATAAACAGGCCCTCAATTGGTACTTAAAAACAGTCCAGTCAGCAAGTATTAACAGAAAATTTATTCTTTGACACAACAAACAGACCAAACCCAAACCCAGCTGCAAAGTGATGGCAAATAAATCCAATCCGAACGAAGCACCTTTTCTTGCGACCAAGCTCTATTCGAGTTCGTTAACAACGCGCTTGATGTAGCGCGCCTTGTAACACTGCGTCGCTGCGACGTAACGAAACGTTATGCAACAAGCGTAACTCAAGCCGCTCAGGCGGGAACGTTAGCTTTACCACAGGTACACCAGTGATAAAACCTACAGTGAAGAACTACCTGCCGAGGGTAAAAACTAGGAAGAAATGGTGTTCAGGTTCTATGTGAACCATCCTGACTATCGACAAATACCGGACAAATTAATAGCTGGGTTACCTGTGGTTGCTCAGGAGAAAGAAAATAAGAACTGGAGTAAAGACAAGGACCAAAATCTGGACGATATCCAAAATCACATAGTTTCTACTTAACTTGGACGAGAAATGGCTACATAAAGACTAAAACTCTAAATATTTTAACTACAATAAGTACTTCCGGGAAGAGGGCAAGATCTAACCTATATTACCAACCAAACAATATTCTACACAAGTTTAAAAAAAATATTGAAAATTTCTTTTAACTCTGCAATTCAGTAGAAAAGAAAGAAGCTAGAACACTTCCAGGTCAATTTTGATTACACTCACTAACCCTTCCCAGCATTCTCTCTTAGCCGACCTGATCCAGACTCGTACCCAGTCTTTATTTATTTGGTTCTAGGGTGTGTGAACTCTGCCAGGTGTGACTGCTGATTTCTCTCTTTGCAGGCTCTCCGTAGCACTGTGTCTCAGTATGGAATTTCGCGATGAATTTCGCGATTTCGAGAGGGGACGAATATTAGGCTGATTTAGCAAGAGAACGGGAACGTCACTTGACAACGGCGCGCGCAGTACAAATACCCAAATATGGTCAAATTAGAACAGAATCCAGGTTATTCCGCGCGCCCTGCAGTCGTCATCTGACGTTCCCGTCCTGTTGCTAAATCAGCCTATTAAGTGTGAAGAAAAACGTCTCATCATCCGTGCTACCCCAGATCTCACCTCAACCGACAAATAAATAAAGACTGCCTTACTCATGTAACTGTTGCGTGACAAAACTTAGTCATTAGACTACTACAACAATGAGGCTTAGTGGAGACTACATGAGAACATCTCGCGCGAGACTTGGGTGATTGAAAGGTTCGCACCCTAAGTTCTCTTCTGTTCCAGTTATCCTCACACTCTGCCGTGTGGCTGCCTTCCTTACAGCGCCAGCTACACTTGGACAGTTTATCGTGCTGAAGTTTACAATGAGGACATGACTTGTCACTTGTAGTCTCTCTTCCGTTACTAAACGACCTTGGCGCGGGTACGCGTTTGGAATTTGAATCTACATCTGCGTCGGTTTTACCTTGATCGTGTTCTTCAGAATCGTTGTTTTGACTGTTTGCTCTTGTTCTCGGTGATCTAGGGGACCTCGGTTCTTTTCGGCCAGGAGATCTTCGCCGTACGTAGTCCGTTATTCGCGCCTGTTTATTTCTAGTGTTATCTTCCATTGCTGATGTGCTTTTAGAGCGTTTCCGTTTGACGGTCTTTCCAGTCTCCTCAAGTTCAACCACGTTTTCTGGTCTGAGCGGGTCGTTTTCTTTTCGACTCTCATCGTCAACTTCCGGTTTCACCGTTGGGTCGTCTTCACCTCCGGTCTCAGCTGTTTCCGGTTTCTTGCTGGCCTTCACTGACCGAGAGAATCGCCCGCGCGTTTCACGCGACACTGCGTCAGAATTCTGCCACTCTTCTTCAGAATTCCCAACTGTTTCTTTATCGCTTTCCTCTTTCGATTCCTTCACAGCATTTGGAAATGAAAAGTGTCGCCTCCGGCGTCTCTGTGGTTTCTCAGAGGCGCTTTGCTGATGACTGTCATGTCCCACAGTAGTTTCTTCCAACTCAGTTATCGTGTTCCGCAGTACACGCTTGGGCGCGGTGGCGCTTGTTTCACTAAAGCTTAGAGTCTTAGTCCGAGTTCGTTTTCTTCTCGTGGTTTCATTATCACTATTCGTTATGCTTTCCAGTTCTTTACTAGAGCCAGCTGCTGAATCTGCCGACTGGCTGGACGAGGAAGATTGTGTCACAAGGTGGCTGTTTCTGCGAGTTCTCCTCGCTGGTGACGAGACTAGGACCTCTTCTACAATGTTGACTACTTCATCAACAGCCCTACCCCTGCTATCAGGGTCACCATGCCCTCCCTCTGAATTGTGCTCTGTACTGGAACAGTCTCCTGAACTGCTGGAAGTACTGGAAGACTCCATCGTACTGCTTATACTAGAGGAGAGCGACTCCGCCACGCTACCACAGCCGCCGCCTTCACCGGCGGCAGGCAAGCTGCCGTCGCCACTGAAGTTGTCTTTACACATGGCGAGTACCCAGTGAACTGCCTCCTCGTCCATGTCGCATGACTCGTCTGTCATCACCGCGTGCTCCTGCCAGAAGACTTCCTCACGAGCTCGGTATAACTCACGGCGCATCTTTTCTCGCTTGGTAACCATGTAGCACAGGTTACGTAACTGCAAAGTGGAAAGTGTGTCTAAGTACAATACGTGCAAATATTAAACCAATAAAAGTGCAGGGTCTTGTGGGCTAAATGACCTGTTTTTCCGAATTCTTCCGGGAACAGGGCGCAAATTTAGCTGAAAAATTCTCTAGGGGGGAATCTCTAGGGGATCGAAACGTGCGGTGGTGTAGTTACTAAAATGAAACAGCAACTGTGCAAGAATTCAGTCCACAGAAAGTTCTAGCATTAATTCGTTATAATCAAAGGAACTGAAATACGTTGATCAACGTATTCTATAATTTTTTAAGTGTCCCCAATTAGTAAAGAGTCTTTACCCTCGGCTATAGATTCTGACAAAGTCATTGACTGACTGACAGACTGATTGATTGATCTAGAAGTCTCACCTTCTCCAGGTTACACCTCAGTTTCACGATTCGCTCTAGCTGAGCCTGAAGATTGCTGGAAGAATTTACAGCACCCTGAAAATAACACAATAAACAATGTAACAAGTGTCCATTCAACAAGAATGAGCGTTCTCGAAGTAGTCATTTCAGAGTTTTCTTCCATCAAGCTCTAAAATTTCCGCAATTTAAGGAGGCACTCATATTACGATAATTTAATTTAAATATGATTTGAGGTTTTTATCTAAGTACGTGTATATTAGGGCAACACACCAACTATAACCAATAAAAGACCGCCAATTAGAATTCATAGTTGCAAAAATGCACGGACCTACCTAACATACTGTGACCAAGCACCCTTTGATAACTTCACCCACCTGTTTTCCTGACAGCTTCTCCTGTTGTTGAAGAGTTGGTGGAAGCAGAGGGACGTCATCCTGAGCCTAACAGAAACAAAAGTTTGGTTTTTCTTTTTAACTCTGGTGATACGGAGGAGCAAGTGGACGCAATTTTGCAATACAGTTGAATCCCGCTATTTCGAACTCTCAGGGGAAACGAAAAAATAGTTCGAAATAGCCCCTAGGAAATAATCGATAAAAAATGACTTAAGGGCAAATCCAGGGGAAATAGTTTTTGAGTTCGAGATAACGGGGAATTCGTAATGACCGAGTTCGAATTAGTGGGGTCCAACTGTATAAAACTTGAGTAAAGACTTCCTTTGGATGGCCAAAAGAACTCGCTACTTTATCTGCAAGTGTACTAGGGCTGCCAAAACAGCCAAGCTCTAGCCTAGCGAAATACGATTGAGAACAAGGCTACAGAAACTTTAGTTAAATGACAAACAAGTGTAAACTGAGCCCCCACTGGCGTAAAAAATTGATCTGATCGAAGAAGGTGCAATTCATTGCAAGTCAAGTGACTGCATGTAAATAATGACCAGATGAAGTCACAAGCCGACACAAGTGGCGAACTTTTATCTATTTTGCGATTAACTGGGATATACGATACCTTTCTCTTAAGCGCCCAAAACTTGTGGATCTTGGTGGCAAGTTCTTTGGGAAGGTTCAGATCTTTGGCAATCTCAGCAGGGCTGACAAACTTGTAGAACTCTTCCTCCATCTGTTTCAATCTACAAAGAGCAAATGAAAAAATACAATTTAAAATTCCGTCAGTTCTGAAAGTATTTTAAGAACTTAAAGGGGCTACATCACGGTTTGTGCATCTTGAAAAGTTAAGCCTAAATTTTTCAAGTTCGTCGTTTGTAATCCGTGTTAATCTTCTCCATCCTTAATCATCCTTGTTCCTCNCCTAACAGAAACAAAAGTTTGGTTTTTCTTTTTAACTCTGGTGATACGGAGGAGCAAGTGGACGCAATTTTGCAATACAGTTGAATCTCGCTATTTCGAATTCTCAGGGGAAACGAAAAAATAGTTCGAAATAGCCCCTAGGAAATAGTCGATAGAAAATGACTTAAGGGCAAATCCAGGGGAAATAGTTTTTGAGTTCGAGATAACGGGGAATTCGTAATAACCGAGTTCGAATTAGTGGGGTCCAACTGTATAAAACTTGAGTAGACTTCCTTTGGATGGCCAAAAGAACTCGCTTCTTTATCTGCAAGTGTACTAGGGTTGCCAAAACAGCCAAGCTCTAGCCTAGCGAAATACGATTGAGAACAAGGCTACAGAAACTTTCGTTAAATGGCAAACTAGTGTAAACTGAGCCCCCACTGGCGTAAAAAATTGATCTGATCGAAGCAGGTGCAATTCATTGCAAGTCAAGTGATTGCATGTAAATAATGACCAGATGAAGCCACAAGCCGACACAAGTGGCGAACTTTTATCTATTTTGCGATTAACTGGGATATACAATACCTTTCTCTTAAGCGCCCAAAACTTGTGGATCTTAGTGGCAAGTTCTTTGGGAAGGTTCAGATCTTTGACAATCTCAGCAGGGCTGACAAACTTGTAGAACTCTTCCTCCATCTGTTTCAATCTACAAAGAGCAAATGAAAAAAATACAATTTAAAATTCCGTCTGTTCGGCAAGTATTTTAAGAACTTAAAAGGGCTACATCACAGTTTGTGCATCTTGAAAAGTTAAGCCTAAATTTTTCAAGTTCGTCGTTTGTAATCCGTGTTAATCTTCTCCATCCTTAATCATCCTTGTTCCTCTATGGTTTATTATTACCTGTTTGGAGTTTTTCTATCTTTGTAAACTAGTAAGTTCAGGTTTCCTTCAATTTAAAGGTAAGTGTGTACATGGCAAAAACAACTCAAAACACCGTGACTGAGCTCCTTTTATGTCTGACGTTTTCAAGTTTTTTCATACGGTAATCCATTCCCATCCATGACATCATTACTTATCCTCACTTTCTACTGTGGTCCTGTCATTTGTCGAGCCCTATTCTACAAAATCAAGCCATTATTGTTGGGCTTCCTGTTATCTAGCTATGATTTCTGCCTCCATTCTTAAGTTTGTCCATATTGCAATCCATTTCCATCCTAGCCATTGTTAATCATCCTCACTTCCTACTGTAGTCCTATCATTTGTCAAGTCCTTTTCTAAAAAATCAAACCATCACTGTTAGATTTTCTTAGATCCAGCTACATTTTAGACGTTACCTCTTTTGTCGTAAATTCTCTGCATCTTCAGCAGAAGTTGTTCCTTTATCCTCTTCCTTAGTTTTCTTACTGGGCGATCTGGACTTGTGACTATGCTTGGTACAATAACTCTGCATAAGAATAATAATGAAGTGAGTTAACAAGCCACTGAGCAAGCGCATGTTGAAAGAGAATACTTACAATGTGCCTAACACCATCTGTGGCATTATCATCCAAAACAGTCCTCATTTCAAGGCCATGTTTAAACCCACATGTTACGTGGAAAGCTGTAACACAACTTTTGACCTTCAAAGCAAAAAGCACAGAAAGAAAATGCGTTAATGTTTAGAAGAAAATTCACGGGTTATCTCCAACATATTACTACAGAGTAAATTCTTTGATTTATGGCTTGTCTCATATAAGGACTGCATGGTCCTACATCGCATTGCAAAGCTATCCTAACAAGTATGAATTGAGCAGGTGATGGGGGTTATGTCTACTCATGCTAAATGGAGGGCACATTGAAATACAGTCAAACCTCTGTAAGCAACCAGCCAAAATGTCAAGCCTAGGTGGTCGCTTACAGAAGGTGGTCGCCTACAAGAGTTTAGACATATTGGGTCCAAATTTTGCCTCATTAGAATATGATAATTGCAGACACTTGCCCTATGCACCATTCATGTGAAAAGTCAATTTCAAGAAAAAAAAAAAACACTCCGGTCCTCCCCACTAAGAAATTTGTCTGTTGTACTACCCAGGAATACAGTACTGTTACACCTTATGATTCAATTNTTTTTTTTTTTGTACCATAGCTGTCTCTGTTAGCTAAATGTTGGGATAATTTTTAATAATTTGGGATAATTTTTGTGAGATTTCAGCTGTAGTTTACAAGAATTTAAACTAATAGCACCTCATCAATAATTTCTTTCTCTAACAACTGCATGACTGTGCATTCTTCTAATCGGAAGATACCTTGTTTTCAATGTATGCCAGAGCCTTTTCCAAAACAGCCTCTTCTAACTCCATCAAACCCTTGTTTTGCTGTGACTTGTTTAAACTTGTAAGCCACTCCACATCCATTCTTCCTAAGTCATAGGGACACTTTGAACCTGGTGGTCTTCCTCTAGCTTTAGTTGGAGTACTAAGCAATTTGCTTGGCCTGTTGAAAACAGCACAAGAATGATCCACACATAAATGTGTACAAAAAAACAACAACAAAATAATGTCCTGCATTGCAGACAATTTACTATTACAAACACATAGCTAAAAACAAAGAAATACAAGAAAACAAACAAAGTCTTATTCATCTTTACATACGTAGCTAAAAGTAATTTGCAGAAATGACTTTCTGATTCACTTACAGTCAAACTCACAACACCGAACAACACCGAACATAAAATATGTCTAGAATGTTTATTGTCTATAACCAATCACGAGTGAGATCATCAATCACAGAAACCACAGAAAACTGATGTATTGCATTGATCACGGAACTATAAGTATAGTTTTGGTTTTTGCTTTATCCCAAGATACACTGTCTGTCTTTACATATTACTGAAAGTCTAAATAATGGTATTGAGAACCACATCCAGTACTTAGTTTGAGGGATTTTGGAAAACAAGAATCCTACTGACGTGTACAGTTACCAAAGTGAAGCGACGGTTAATTTGACAAAGCTATAAATAGGGATGAATAAAAATTTAAAATTTTGGAGGTTTCACTAACCCTGGTATCATCTTTGGTTAAACTAGGGACTCAATTTATTTTAGCAAATAATTACAATCTCTTGGGCCTGGTGATTCGGTGATCTAAACACCTGGAAATATTGACGACGATAAATGCAAATGTTTGCTAATTTTGGAATTAGTTGTGGCAAACAGTAAACACCTAACTTTTACGCTGATCCTTCTCAAAGTAAATTTGCACTTGATTCACATATTACAAAACATAATGGTGACTTCCATTTTCATCAATATCACTCATCGCTTTTTGTCATTATCTAAATAATGAAACAAAATAATGATAGCACTGATTTGGATC